TACTCACTACTCACTACTCACTACTCACTACTCACTACTCACTACTCCTACTCCTACTCCTACTCCTAGCTGCTGCTGCTGCTGCGGCTGCTGCTGCTACTAGTACTACGCCGCCGACGACTACTACTACAACTACAGCCAATAGTAATAGTTTTGGTGGCCTCTATCCTATTCAAACACCCTCGAATGTTTGCTAGGGAGGCAGGGACGCCATTATATTATATGTTATATATATAGCAATTTCATGAGGCACTTCATCCACCAAAAAAAAATGGAAGCGCGCCCCGCCAGCGACTGTCCGCCTCACCAATGGCATCATGCCCCAAAGGAACAAGGCGGCCATTTGGGGCGGCACAGTTCGCCCGATCTTAGCAAGTCTGGTACGGCTCACATCCCCTCGCCATCCGCCATCCTGGCAGCATCGACCACGTGATCCGTGGAGAACTTCCGTCCCAAGGAGATCTGCTGTGGAGATCCGGCTCTTCCACTCTCCACGGCACCATGTAGATTGGAGCTCCCCCCTCGAACCGCCTCCACCACGTCGCGTCCGACCAGATAGGCGCGCCGATGAGGGAACTCGCTGCTCAAGATCCTGTCGTCGTACTCAGCAATTGCCTGATTAGTGTGCTTGGAGCCCTGAAGGAGCAGTAGACTCTTCATTAAATAATCACCCGCTTGAATTGGATATCCTCTTCATATGGGTTTATTAGTGTGGTCGATGTGGTATCGTCGTGTAGTGCTAGGGTGGAAGCAGGGGTCCGAATTGATGTGTACATCAAGTTCTCCTTGTGCATTTCCTGCTCCGCGCTCGCCCGCTGTGCTCTCCTGCATTTTTGGAGGGCATCAGCCAAATCCATGTCCCAAATTCAAACTAAAGAAAGATGTCAAACATGCTCCCATCTGCTTTTCGCCTGAAAACAACACCAGTGCAGCTGCCACTGCAGTGCTGGTCCCTTGTGTCCGAAAACGAGGTCGCGGAGAGTCGCGACAGTCGTGACTCGTCGCGGCTCTCCGATTCGCTCCACCTATGAACGACCCCGAAGGTGGAGAATGATCCAGGAAAACCACTTGTTACTAGTAACAAGTGCCACGCTAGTAGTAACAGGTGCCTTACTAGTAGTAACAAAAAGCTATTAGAATTAAGTTAAAATAAAATTAATAGCTTCTTGTTACTACTAGTAAGGCACTTGTTACTAGAAGCGACGCACTTGTTACTAGTAGCTTCTTGTTACTACTAGTAAGGCACTTGTTACTA